CTATATTCCATCCAGAAAAAAACCATTCGCCTGATTGGAGACACGAACATCACTTGCAACCTTGATAGTCTGGAACATCGAAGCAAGGTTGGAGATTTGTCTCCCTTTCGTCTATACTTTCACGGGAGGTGTTCAAGGTACTTTGCACATTTGATTCCACTAAGAGCGACGAACTGTGGCTGATCATCCTTCTGAGGTTCAACTGAGTACACCTCGAACTTCGCTGTTCAAGAACTCTTCCATTCGGAGACCCGCGTTTACGTGGAATTAACTTTATGAGAACGTTTTTCCAAATGGTTTTATTCTCCAGCGATTCAAATCGCTACTTTCGCACAGGCACCACTTTCAGAACGCGCTAAAAAATCTGTAGTGCTTGTTTTTTCTTGGAAAAAAATACTTTAAGTAAAATGAGATGATGAAACACGTTGTGGAAACTGTGACAAAAGTATGTTGGTCCAGCTAAGTGTAACTTCAAAACTCGTTTCAAATAACACGCGGCATATGACCGATTTAGCATTATTCAAAGTTGTTGACTCTTTAACTATTCCGAAATTGGCAGTAGTAATTTTGTGGGGTTTTTTTCACGCAAGAGGTTGTATGTCTACTTTTCAGATATTGTGTGCATTGATGTTTCACCATCATGTGACGAAAAACAGCGTATCATATTGTGTAAGTGAGAAATTGCTGAATGAAAACCACATTTCTCCTTCGCGTGACTTAACACAAAATTCACTTTCGACCAAATACAACATTTCAAATTATTCGGGTGAGTGTGAACTTTTAGTATATGACAACACGATACCTCATCCACAGTGAAGGATGAAACTATTTCATGCTTGCTGATTTTCACCCTAAATCGATTCGTTGAAACAAAAGACAATTTATCTCTATCGCTGAGGATTTTATGTACATTCCAGTTCAATTCTTGAAGTCGTATCATGCCAAATGTTCAGATATTTGGTAAAGTTTCAATGAATATTTTTATTTGGTCATTGAGTTAATTATTGAAATTTTGAAGTTTGTTGATCTCATGTTTTTCCAAAAAAATATTATTTGAAATGTTGTACGCAACATACTAATTATATTCAAATCAAATTATGTTTTTCCGGTAACCAGCTGTCGCACCCCTACGAACGACAACCCTCAGAAGTCGAAAGTTGTGCGAGATAAGGTCTAATGAGGTATTACCTTTTAACGTGTAATTTCCAACAGGGGTTGGACGATAGCAAGTGAAAATTGATCGTTCAGCCTGCGGCTTGAACTACCAGCTCACACATCGGTCGATTGAGAGAGTGAACAAAGCACGTCGAACCGGCTTGCTACCGACCTACTGCTTGCTATCGAAGGGATATAACTTGAGAACTTTGACTAATTTTTCAAAAAAACCAATAGCACTTCAGCATTTTCAATTGAGTCAACCTGTTGGTTTGATCAAATGCATTTTGTATATCCAAGTATAACATTTGCTTGGCCCCTTTTTCAAATACTCCATAAACATAGTGAGATAGACAGAAAATGTGTGTTATGGAAGATCTAAAAAACTATGATTTGATATTATGTTTTTAATAGCTTGCAGGAATTCTTAAATGATAGTATACTAACTATACCGGAGCAAATAAAGATCTATCTATCTATCTATCTATCTATCTATAGGGAGTTTGAACTCTCATCATTTTAGGATTTTCGCAGGGAATCATCATGAAGTCCCTCAGGCACGGCACTGTTTCCTTCGAACAAATGACAAGCCATTGTATTTTTCTCGAACTGAATGTGAAATTTTCGCTGAGAGCAAAGGTCTGTGGGGTATATTACCTTTATCTAGGTTTTCGAGAGCTAAAGACAAAATGATAGAGAAGCGATCGTAGAAAGCGGCAGGGAACACAATAATAGAAAATTAAAAGCATTCGTCGAAGTTTGGAGAGGCTGCAGCTTGAACTAAAGGAGGAATTGACGAAGTGCTGGTGTGGAGGAAGTCTGCTATAGACTTCAGGGGATTTTATGGGAGTTGCTGATTTATTGAGCTCCTACTCTATCACGTAAGTTTTTTCGGATTCTCCCTTCCGACAATGCATATGCGGGGATTGAAATAAATATTTAGGTGTTCTTGAAGTCACAGTCTTTCTTATTAGGAAAAATTCAGGATAATGTGTATGAACAGAAGTCATTTCAGTGAACAGCGAAATGAATATATTGGTCAAATATCAGGAATACCCAAAGAACGGATTGTAGCACACAGACGTGATAGTATATCATATTCTGAGATATACGCTCTCAGTAATCATATCTTCAACAAAGGACACATAATAGATTATAACCGAATTAAAAGTCCACCAATTAAACAAGAATCTAGGAGACTTTCTTTGCTCAGTTAGAATCCCGTCTAAACAAAAAGGCTAATAATAATTATCTCAGAGTGAAGCAACTATAAGTACTCTGTGGCAGGTGAATTTTCATTTTTCCCAGAATATATATGTTCATTCATCTATTTTTATTTTATTCTCTTTGAAGTATTGGTACGACTGGACTTTGAACTTCGATATGATAAACATATACCTACTCTTGATTCGTTACCAGTTATGACCCTTTTGAGCAAATCTGGATCGCCGTTGACGTCATTCAACAATTTCTGAACGATGCTCATGCGATGATTTTTTTGTCAGAATTCAGCAATTTCACTATTTGGCAGAAACATCTGGTGAACAGACAGGTCGAAAACCAAACACAGGACTGGAGCTGGAATATACTATGTGAGAAGAAATCTTCATTTCAGTTACCTCCTCCTTCAGTACACGTCAAACTCTCCAGCTGAATTGATTAATGTTTCCTGGATTGAGCGGTGAATATTAATTTGAGGCCTCAACAAAATGAGTGTGAGCGGATCAGTAGTCTCACAGATAGCCAGGTTGCACTACTATGGGAAATGTCACGAGAAACCAAGAAAACACACGGGCGGGAAAATATTGTCTATTCACTGAGTTCCAGGATACTCAGGCATCGCAGGCAACGAAAGAGCTGATGAGTATGCCAGACAAAGATTATCAGCTCCATATATAGGCCCAGAACCGACCATGTGGGGTAACAAAAACTTTGGAACGAAACCAGACTAGGAAATGAGCCTCTGAGGGCAAAAACTGGAGAACATACTAGGAAACACATACTAAAATACATTTATAGAAGCATCGTCTGAGGAGAGAACCGGAGAATTGCTCCAACAAAGCAGAGATTGGCTCAGAACGATTTCATGGCTGCTCACTGCACAACGGAAACCTCAGCTGCAGGCAAAACAACAAAGGGACAGAAACTGCTAGTCATATGTAATGCCAAAGTGGACTTTTAGTTCACAATAGACAAACAATGAACACTCCGAATTATTTTCCCAAGAATATAACATACATGCAGCAATGGAACTGTACATGCTAGTACATAAAAGAGGGTGGTTGCAATGGGTGGTTGCAATGGCTCCAGCATTTCCCGAAGACATGGAAATAATTAACAAGTAAAGCAGCTCCCAATATTTGAAAGAATAAAATCTTCTACAACTTCCACTGTCTCGTATTCTTAGAAGCTCCCACTGATATCAATCATGTTCACCTATGAGGAGATGACTAGATCTAATGCCAAGCAGCTTGACTCTAGATGGGTGCCTGAATGGCTTTCATGGCTTGTCCCCCATCATGCTCGAGATCATATTCCAACGGGTAGAACTCCTGCTCTTCCTATGTTCTCACCTCGTAGAAGCTTCTGAAAGTTGCTCATTTGAAAACTGCAGTTGGGAGAATTCTGAACCACCCACAGAAATCGATTCGGTTTCAAATTCTAAGCTTTATGCATTAATTTTTATTTGCTATATATATATCTAGGATACTCTTACTACGAAAAAAATGTATCAAGTATCTGTAAGATGAAATAAAAAAACGATAGCTGCAGAGTAGCTTTTATTAGGAGCAAAATTTGTACTTTGATGAGTATAAAACACCAGAGCAAAGAATGATCTCAGAAATGAGAAATGCAACTATACATACAACCCTACGGAGGAATGTCAAATATAGCGTTATAAACACTAATGGAAATGCACTCAACACTAAACATTCACGACCATATTCAAATAAAATTACAGAAAAATTTGATCCTGACTTCAACCCATATAAAATGGTAATTGTAGTATATAACCTCACCGTCAAAACTAGCAATTACCTAATTCAACCAGCAACAAATTTTTATGGCAATGCTGTTGCATTTTCGCATCTATGGGGCCGTAACTGAAGTTGAAATAGTGCATAATCGTAAATTTTCCCGTAAATTCGGTTGGTTGATAAGCTCACAAAACATCGTAACAAATTTTTACATGTTTTTAACGTTCTCACCATATGATGTAATTTACCCAATATTGGTCCTCAAAGACACAGTGCTGAATTACAAATACCGGAAGGACCTGTGTGTCCTGAATCAAAATACGAAGTTATTCAATTGGTGAGATCAACTATCACCCCACGAGTTTGGGAGATGCACTATTTTGAATGTGATTCAACTTCTGGGCTAGCTTGAACCCAGGCTGCTACGTATCTTCATGAAAGAATACTCACTCACTAAGTAAGTGATTGTGGAATTCATATTGAAACATCCATTATCAATATTCATAATTTTAAATATTTAGTAATATATTGCAATAACTAGCCAAGATTCTTGAGTTTACTAGTACATTGAAGCCACATTGAAATTTCTCATGTATATTTCAATTACATTTTTTTTTGAATATTTCAGTATCCAAAAGTCATCACAAGGATCTCAAAATATCATTATTGATGTTTCACATCTGCCAGGCGTCCCGTGACGGTTCAGAATTCTTTTTTAGTTGGGATATCATTTTGCCCTGTATAATTTAACATTTACATATAATTTACATATTGATACAGAAACTGTTTCTTCAATATTCTGTAATAGTGATCTGTAGAATGAAGTATTGGGTACCTAAATAGTTGAAAAAACAAATGAAAGCTTACCGCTGTTGGACCTCTGTGTCCATCTTCTGTTACGCTATACTGGTGTTTGTAGACATAGTCGGCACCAATTGGGAGCATTTCATTGATAATTTCCAGGTGCACAGTATCCTTATCGAATCCAGCTCGTGCCTCTGATACACAGTTATACTTGCCTTCAACAACTTTCATACCGTTATAGTCTACGGTGGCATCACCTACGCTGACTTGAGCTTTTTTCTGAAAATAGTGAATACAGAACGTTATTTTTGTCATCATACATGAAATTATCACAGGTGAGACATTCAACAGTTATTGTGTCAGGAAAAATTCAATACGTTTCAGAATATGTGTTGCCGTTGCTAGTGAATAAATCGAACTTCTACTCCCCTGGCTACCAAGGTGTTAATTCCAACTAATAGATGTCGTGCTTCCATTTATGTAGCCAATTCACAATAAACACCTGGCAGCACTATTTCAACCCACCACATGTCTCATCAGTGGTGCTAGGCTGAACGACAAATGTTATATTAGACTCAACTGCCCTTAAAAAACAATTCTGAGTGAATCGAACTATTAGATGAATTGCTGAAAATGTCGAAATATTGCATGACATGCAATTTTTTCAGAAATTTTGGGCACTAAGCGGTTTTCAACCAGGTTACAGCTGTAGCTCTTCATTGACTGATGTATCAGATGATATTCTGAGGGGAATGGACGAAAGTAAGGCAACGATCCTGGTACTCCTGGACTACACAAAAGCGTTCGATTTGTTGAATCATAGAACTGTGCGAGCTTGCGATTTGATAAAATCATTCCTAACGAACAGATTACAGAGAGTAGTGTAGAAAAATGAGACATCGTCAGCGATTACTGTCACCACTGGTGAACCTCGAGGGAGTATTTTGGGTCCATTATTTTATGCGATTTATTCTGCACAGTTCGTAAAGTCATTAACTCTATACGCAGATGACACGCGGCTATACTTTTCCTTTAACCCATCAGATACTGCAGCAGCAGAATATTCTCTCAACTATGATCTGAAAAAACTTTTTGAAATATCAAATGAACATTAATTGAAAATCAATCCAAAAAAATCCATGGCTATACTTTTTCGTAATGATAGAATCAGAGGAGAATTGCAGGCATCTTTGAACATTAGTATAGCTAATGAGATTATTTCTTTCAGGACATCCGCTAGAAATCTGGGTGTGATAATTAACAATAAACTCACCGCTTCCCCCACCGATGAAAAGGTATATATTATTTAACACTTTTTGTTCTTCTTATCATCTAAGCTTTGCAACCTAATATGTCTCAATGACGCTCGAGTAAATCCCCATTTTGCATCGTGGGCTCCCCTGCTATTAGTAGAGTGTCCAATGCGGAAAGGCTGGAGCATAACTTAGCCAGAAATCTCAAGGACATCTTAGGGGAAAGCTGTTGTACACAACCACTCATCTCATTCTTAACCGACATAAAGATATTACATAAATTGTAAATAACTTTCGTGAAAAACTCTGTCAAACCGCTAATAACTTTGAAGATTGATGCGGGTATTTTGTAAATAAACAAAAAATACAAAGAAAACATCTGGTGTTGTGGAAAAAAATTTATGTCTTTTGCATCACGATAATGCACTTGCTTACTCGTCATTGCTTATTTGTAATTTTTTCGCCAAAAACAACATCGTTATCATGCCTCAGCCACCGCATTCACCAGATTTGTCCCCCTGCGACTCTTTTTTGTTCCGAAAATTGAAGAGACCCATAAAAGGATGGCGTTTTGCAACGATAAAAAACAATTGAGAAGGCTCAAGAACATACCAAAAACTGCATTTTAGAACTACCTACCTTGATGTTTAGAAAAAATGCCGGCACAAGTGAATTATATTTGAAAAGGGCTACTTTCAAGAAGACAAAATGTAAATTGATGAGTGACTAAATATTTTAGGAACAAATAACACCTTATTTTTTCAACAGACAGCGTACATTAAATTTCGTTCCTTTTTTCAGTTTCTAATGACAATATTGTATTGAACAAAATGGAATCAGATCGGTGACGCTTCTAAACGCGACACGAAACGCAAATCGGAGAGTTTTCATTGAAATTTTCGAAAAAAAAATATCAAATTTCATATGAAAATTTTGCAATCCAATTCCATTCCGTTCCGATTTTCCAACTGAAAATTTAATAAAATTTTCATAAAAAGTCACTTACGTCGTATTCGTAGTCAACCAACGCAATATGCCTGGTTTTCAGAGGTAATTCAATAATTAATTTACCCTTCATGTTCCGTTCTAACAAAGTAGCTCCTGTTTTGATGTCACATACGCTGTCTAAAACTGCATTATCACCATCCCAAAATACCTTGATGTATCGATTGTAAGCGATGCTGAAATAAAAGGTACAGTAATTAATCATTCTCAGAGACTACAATAGCCCATTATAATCAATGTATATATAGGTTTCATCTGGGATAAAACAGGCATGGAAAATAAGTCGGGCTAATATGAACACATTCTGATTTTTAATATAAAGATAAAAAATGATTCGTCATGATCGAGGGGAAAATTTCCGTGTATATTTTCCAGTGGGGTCGTGATTCAGTAAAACTGGAGTCATTTCATCCCTTTCTATTAGTTATGGAATGGAATCGGCAGTAGTTCTGCTTGGGAATTATCTCTGTTTCAACATGCGATAGACAGAGGTCACAAAAAACTCAAAGAACTGACATATATTCCTTGATCAAGAAATCAATGTATTTTGTGAAACCCTGTGGAAATGGATCGTTCCTGATTGCCATTTCTGACACGAAAAATTGAAGATATAAATGAAAAGTTGAACTGAACTCTAGGAAAACATCCTATGTATTTAGAATATTTCATAATTTGGGAATCTCCAGAAGGAAACTGTTCAGTTGTCCTTTAGTAGGCAAAAAATATTTCTTATGAATTTTGGCTGCAATACAATTTCAAGCAATATATTTTCACGATCATTTTAATACCTAAGTCAGACTCGTATGTTCCACTTGTGAAAAATATTATATTGAATAGCAGAACTACAAAATATTTTTCACCCAAAATAGTTGTTTCCTCCAAGTAGTGATCAGCTCCAAGTTAACTCTGATGAGTTAACTTGAAGCTGAACAAAGCCAGTGACGAAACTAAGGGGTCAGGGAGATCACGGCCCCGTCGCCGAGTTATGTAATTACAGTTTCAAGTGGTTCTCTCTGAGATCTCAATCCACCTACTTCTCATATACCCAGTTCAGTCTAGGTAGTAGACAGGCTTAGGGTCCGACGTCTTGAAAATGGCTCGAAAATCGAAGCCGAAACCTCGAACAAAAATCTCACTTCATTGTGACTAGTTGAAACTGGTCTTGTTTGTCGGGATACTCAGACGATTCACTCCATTTGAAGTGACCTGTCCGGTACTGATGATGGAGAAAGTACCCCGAAACCGGTCTATCGGTTGGTCGTACCGACCAAATGAAATCAATTTCTGCTTTTCATAGTGGGAAATTACTTGCAACGAATCTTTCAAGAGGAAGACGTTGCGCAGGTGCCTGTTGTTTCACTTCAGCCTTCTGCGCAGCATTCGCTGGGTTACTTGTTGTTTTTCCGTCGGGTATTTGCCACACTTACTTACAGAGTCATAGGTCTACATGAGAGGCAAGGTGTAAGGTGTTTTCCACCTGAACCTTAATATGGCAAGTCAACTTGCCAAGTATTTTTATCAGTGTTGGTGGTTTAACCAATCAACCGACAACTGCGGTAGCAGAAATTTGGGAAGCTATCCTGGAATGCCTTTGAAAACCGAATCCTCATGTTTCTAGAAATGATATGAAATTTAGAAATAATAAGACAGTCACGCTGCTGGAAAATAAGTCCATGAAAATCAAAAAATAAATATAGATAAGTACTATTCTGATCATTCCCACATTGATTTCAATTTAAGAGCCATCAGTAGACAGCTGTTGCAGCTTATTGGGAATCGTCAGTACCGGGCAGGCGGTCCCCAATTGAAGACAAAATTTAAATAACCAAGAAAAGTACTTGATGAAAATAACTGCGTAAACGCGAGTGAGGGGAACTGAAACTCCCCAAAAGCCTCCGCGAAACATGCCGCCGTGGACCAGCCTACCCAAGCTAAGGTGTGAGGAATCATGTCGACAGCTGAATGGCCGCAGGGTGATATGCGGAGACTCATTGTAATCAGCCTTTCTCTGGTAATGTGGGGCTCTGCCAGAGGTGATCAACACTTCCCTTAGGTACTACTCGTAGGAACAGACATGAATGCAACAAACACAAAAACAGACACAACAAAAACAAAAATCAATCCCGAGGCTGGACAGAAGTGCTCACCTCAATCTATGGCGGTAGCTGGGGATGAACAGAAATGTCCACCCCAATCTATCGCTCGGAATGAGGCTGGACATAGCAGATCACCTCGTGATGTAATACAAAGGCCGAGACTTAAGCATATTTGTGGCGCCGAGGCCAAAAGGAGAAAGAGAGTGAAAGAGGCAGAAGCGGCAGCAACTATAAGTGCATACTCCTCCTTCCCCACTCCACCTCCAACAGCAAGGGCACTTCCTGTGGCGGGCGCCAAGAGCTCCGCTTCGAATGAAGGCAAGGAACCGGCTGCCTCTGCGCCCTCACTTGAACACCTCCACGGAGGGAACCCCGAGAAGGTTGAAAAAACCGCACAACGACAAAATGTGTTCGTCGAGTCTCCGCATACACCTGCCGATATGAAGGAGATGCCTCCTAGTGACTTGTCCACCTTCCTGGAAAGGACTGGGTCACATGTGGCCCTGTGGGCCTACATTCATCCTCCCTACTCTACAGATACAGAACTGCGTGAACGCAAGCCAGACATAAGGGACACCCAAGTCAACTTGCCATGTTTTAATGTCAGTGTTTGTGATTTGTCTTCAATCGAGGACCGCCTGCCCGGTACTGACGATGCCCAATAGGCTGAAACAGCTGTCTACCTGCGAGCGCTTTCGACAGTTGGTAGTACTGTCATCTTTTGGCACTCCTCCTCTTGAGGAGGAAATAAAGGAAAATTAGTATCATTTTGTCTTCAATCGAGGATCGCCTGCCCGGTACTGACGATGCCCAATAGGCTGAAACAGCTGTCTACCGGTGGCTCTTGAATTGAAATGAATATGAGAATGATCAAAAAGTACTTATCTATTTATTTTTTGATCTTCATGGAATTATTTTCCAGCAGATTGACTGCATTAACCTTTCTAGATTTCATATCATTTCTAGAAACATGTGGATTCGTTTTCCAATGACATTTCAGGTTAGCTTCCCAAATTTCTGCTACCGCAGTTGTCGGTTGATTGGTCAAACCACCAACACTGACATAAAAAACTTGGCAAGTTGACTTGGGTGTCACACCAATAGGTGATTCCACTTATGTTTCACTTGCGTTTACGCAGCTATTTTTATCAAGTACTTTCTTGTTTTTTTTCATTTTGTCTTCAATCGAGGACCGCCTGCCCGGTACTGACGATGCCCAATAGGCTGAAGCAGCTGTCTACCGGTGGCTCTTAAATTGAAATCAATATGGGAATGATCAAAAAGTACTTATCTATTTATTTTTTAATTTTCATGGAATCATTTTCCAGCAGATTGACTGCATTACCCTTTCTGATGAGGCCAATAGCCAGAAACACGTGTCTGCGGTTTGCCCCCTTTTTGAAAGATACTTTGTATTACGAAATCGTATCACTACTTTCAGAAACAATTATGACGGTGTTCCACCTAGTAGTTGCAATATATCAAACCAACCTTTCCGGAGACAATAAAAACTTTTATAAGCCATAAGGGTGAAAAAAGAAGTCTTGGGTAGGAGCAATCTCGACTATAATCCCCTGACCAATGCAGTGAGGAATTTTCCCGGAAGACAGCTGAAATATTTACACGATAAAACACAAGAGTTACAAGTACAATGCCGATGATGCGGTGGTATGAATAAATGAATGTGTAATACTCACGCATTGGTTTTTGTGTTGAAATATGCCCCCGTATATTTCAAGGATCTGTGCGGAATAGTAATATTGAACATTCCATTCATATTGGCCAATTCTTTATAATCTACTGTACCATATGCAACTGATCGATCCTCGGGATAAAATGCTTCACATCTGGAATACAGGTTGGAACGTTATTTTCTATTATAGGTCAGAATATAATGCAGAGAAGATTTCAAAGGCAATGCGGCCAGTTTATTCCGCATTCGAATGCTTTTCAAGGATAACGTTATTAGTGGTTGTGGATGAATCGGAGTATGTTGACATCTAGAAAGTTTTTCGATTGTGAAAGCCACAAGGGTATTTGACAACATGCCAATGCAAGCATACTGAGGATTTTTTCATATATTCAGTGGAATTATGGAAAAATGAGAATTAACATTTCTTATATTTTTATACCACTAACTAACGTTAGTCCAACAATGTAGTAACGTTAGTTACGAATATAAAAAATGGTAAAAAATAATAGGAAGTTTCAAGTCTCATTTTTCATGACGATCTCCTAACACGTAGTGACAGATATATCCATCAATTTATTGAAATAATTAAAATTATCCACAAATAATTTCCATATTCAAAGTTTCAAAAATTTTTTTCCCACGAATGGGGAACCAGAAAGTCTGTAAAATCTTTCTCAAACACTGCAATAACAATAAATTTGAGAATCAAAATCGAGTATGCAAATAACTGTTAGAATGAAATACAAATTTTCTCTAAATGCATGAGTTTTGAAGGTTTTGATGGCATAATTTTGATTATGAGATCGGTGAGAATCATTTTGTTTCATTGAACATAATATCTCCATAGTTACAGGCAATCTGACTCACATCAAGGACTAGGATGAAACTATAAAATTTTGAATTCACATCGAATTCTCGTTGTTAGAAATGTTTACTGAATATTGAAGATATTCATAAATGAAAGAGTTCTTGAAATTTTTTGTTACATCACCAAAACAATCTCAGAAGTAATTTCCACTCACCATAAGGATGGAAAATCCAATCCATTTTCAAAAAAGAACAAATTGAAATATTCAAAAAAATTGTAATACGTTAGTCCTGACATTCTGACAATATTTCAGTTATTCAAAGGTAACTAAGGAGGTACCAATCACCAGAAAAATGTTTATTTTGATCGCTCTCATAACTTTACAGACCACAACTAACGATTTGATCTTCACAAACTTTATTTTCGAAACTGTATGACCACATGTTTCGCTGTCACAGTAGCTTTGTCATAGTGAATACCATACTGATAGATCTTCCTCTTAAATATGATCAATTGGTGATCGAAACACGTGTTGAAGTGTTGAAAATAACGGTTTAGTGTTGGGATAAAACTCCAGTAATATTTATACTGGAAGTTAATTTTATTATATACTCTATTTTTTATATACCCCACGTAATCAATACTTTTTCGATCATAAGCATCTACTCTACTTTTATATACATAGGTTAGGTTCGGTTAGGTCTAAAGTGAGTCGGTCTATTCGACCCTCCACCGCAACCCGCAAGGGTTTATTGTGGCACACACCTATTCACACCCGACCAAATAAACCCAAATAACTCAATAACAATAACTATGTGTAAAATTCCGAAATATCCATTGAAGATATGATTTTCTTCTGAAAGATCATATGAATATGTTGAATTTTTTTTTTATTTACATAGCTCATATGATGTTCCTGGAGGCGAATGCGAAATGTTCTCCCAGTTTGACCAATATATACCTCAGGACAAGTTCCACAATTTAATTTATATACTTCTGATTTCTCAAATTCTGATGTTTTCTCTTTATTATTTTCAACTAGTCACTTTTTATGTAGTTTGTCCAAAATATGTTGAAGTTTCATAATTTTGAATTTGAATATCTGACTTGTCAGTAGAAGAAAACCTTCCGAAGTGCTTTTGCTCCCATAACTTTTCTGGTGTAATTTGAATACAAACATGGAATTTCCATTTGGAATTTGGAATTGATTGATTTGACGTTCTGTGAACTGAATGCTTCCAAGAACTGGTAAAATTGGTGTCATATGTATATTCCTATATTTTGAAATTAATCGAAAATGCGATGATCGATTGTTTCATTATTACCACCACGTTGATCAGCGGAAATAACACTACCAGTTCTCCAATTTCTAATTCAAGCGAACTCGTATATGTAATGATGGAGAAGGCAGTAATTGTGGCAAATTGAGTTTGATCATATTGATTAACAAATATTTCTGAAAGAACTCTTGTCAATTACAAAAAATAAAACGTGAATTTTCATTTCTTTGTATTCAAATGCATTTTCCGAATGAGATCTGAAATAGAACCCATTCAAAAGAGGGGAAGTTATCAGGTCGTTCCAAAAGTTATGTCCATTTCTATGAGTCTACTTTAAACTGTAATATCTCATGTGTGGCGTGGAGTTTGCTCCAGATCACTAAGCCTAAGGATTTAGTGGAGAATGGAAAAAATACGAGCGTGGTTCAAACAGAGCTGGCTGGTATCTCAATTGCCACGAAAGAAATAACCAAGAAAGGAATTTCTGGCAGAAACATAATCTGCACTGATAGCAGACAAGCCCTATTAGCCTAGAACAGACAACGTGTTACCTCAGACCTAGTACTAGAGTGCCACCAAGATTTAGCCAAAGCCTCGTTAGACAATGAGGTGGGTCGAAGGGCACGACAGGAGTAAAGGTAATCGCATTGCCGACTCTTTAGCCAAGGAAGCGGCTGGACTAAGAATTTTAGGACCCAGTGGTACCTACGGCATGATGACTTCGACAATTGCGGAACTAGTCAAATGTTACACCCATTCTCAATCCTTAAAGAGATGGGATGGAATCAAAGGATGTAATCTTGCCAGGATCACCTTGGGCGACCCTGGGAAGCTGGCGCCGAAGAAATATCTGGCGATGACCAGTAAAAACCTATGCTTAACAGTAGGATTTCTGACTGACCACTGTCAAGTAGGGAAACACCTCCATAATATGGGGCTAGTGGACACACTTCTATGCAGGATGTGTGAACAGGAAGATGAAACTCTCAGGCATGTTCTTTGCATGTGTTCGGCGAGTCTCGGCCTACACCTGCCGATATAAAGGAGATGTGACCTGTCCACCTGAAAATGACAGGATAGACGATGACCTAGGAGGGCAACTCCTTGGGTGGATATAGAATGGGTCACATGTGGCCTAAGAGTTGTGGCCCTAAACTAACCCTCCCTACTGAGATACTTTCTTTCGATCACTTCGAGGCTAAATTCTACGGAACCAAATTTCGCAAACCAACGTAGGACAGAGCGTACATTGATACTCTAATTGCCGAATGCCTGGGTGATTTTTTGTTCTGTTTTGGCAGCCCTTCAACTCAATTTGAATTCTTACAGAAAAATTGGCCGTGAATCGCTCAACGACAGCATTTAGTAATGAGCTGAGGAGTGGCAAAAAATCAAAAGAACAGTATCAATGAAGCAAATACTAAGTATATGCATTCAGCCACTGATAATGTAACCTACCACATTTACTTAAAATCGTCGAAAGGGACATGAAAAATCAATACAGTGAGACACTAACAGTTAATCTCATAAATCCGGCTCTAGATTACCTAATCTCAACAAAACGTTCAAACTTCAAATCGAGCACTGGTTATTGGATTAACGTTTATTTCGCAAGTTGGGCGGCACTGTGTCGCATGTAAAGTCGGAAATTTCATTTTCAATGGGGCGTGCATGTTACTTGAAAGGATTATTAATTGCAGTCTCACAGTTCCATCGGTTTGTTCATACAAGCGTAGTTAAACATCATGGTCAAATTTCAGTGATAAATGCATTACATAAGTTTGTCCAGAATAGCAGCACTTTCTGGATCGATACTCGTGGAAATCATCTAATGGAGATGTATGTTTGTTTGAAGGTGGTTGACAATGTTTCACAGTGAATTTCATTACTACGGACTTCCAATGTCTAATAAGATATAATATATGATACAAAATCTCTGAAAGAATGAATAAAATTGAAAATTCAAACAGAACAGCTGAGAAAAAAAAGTATATTGAGCAAAAAATCCCTGAAATAAATACTCATCTCTCGGAGACATTAGTCCAGTCATCACCCGAAGATGATTGTGAATACTAACAATCGAAATGTCGTGAAGTAGGTTAGATTGAGTTAGTGGGTCTATTCGACCCTCCACCCAACCCGCAAGGGTTTATTGTGGCTCACACCCATTCACACTCGACCAAATGAACCCAGCTTCTTAACGAAGCCGATAATTTTGTATGGAGAGTGGTCTTTCAGGTCAGATGACAAGAGTATCGTTCTGCCGAACCCTTAAAACCTGATTTGGTCCCCAGCGGGGCAGGCACAAAGTATATGCTCTGCTGTTTCATCATTTTGCAAACAGAGGCGACACACACTGTCTTCCGACAGTTCAAGTCTCTGCATATGATAATTCTGATGACAGGGACCTGTAAGAAGGCTTGTTAGATATCGTAGTTCATCCCTACTGTAGTCCAACAACTATTTGGTATGAAGCTTCGAAGGGTGAATACACGCCTTGAAGTGAGCCAATCCTGGAAGATTCTGCCAGAAGTCTTCTTGCCATGCAGGTGTTCAATCTTTGTTTGACAAAGACTAAAGCGATGCTAATGACAGGTTCTGGTCTAAGAACGCTGCTTGCAGCACCCTCCTTCGCAAGGGAGTCAGCAGCTCATTGTCTGCTGAAGTGAAGTAACTCGGCTTGAAATCTTTTGATTTTTATTTCACGTCAATTATCATTTTTTACCTAATTTTGACTTCATTGCAATTTTAATTTTAGAGTAAAATGTTCAATTTTAAATGTTCTTTCAGAGATTTCAAATCATTTTATATCATATTAGACAGTGGAAGTCCTAAGTAATGAAATTCGGAGATTATGTGATGCAAAAAATGAAGCAAATCAATGATGTCGATTTCGTCAAGGAATTATTCACCGTTCAGTAGTAAGTGTTTCAGTCATAAAAATAGACAGCATTTGACGTTTCAAATGGTGATGGTGGATTATCACAGAAAGGAAGCAGGTAACCAAAATCAATGAATTTTTATCAACAGCAATAAGCATAGATCACGGGATTCCGCAGGGAAGTATTTTGGGGCCATTACTATTCTTAATTTACATTAATGATATCAGCAAATGTAATGAATGTCAATATGAACATTATTTCGCCCTAGTATCGGTTAGTGATAAAGATATAGATAAAGCTATCAAAAACATTAATGAAGCATTGCATAATGTTGCTATATATTCAAAAACTGATAAATTGAAGCTGAATGTAAACAAAACAAAAGCTATGATATTTACTACACCGTTTAAATACAAAGAATTAGATTGAAATCAAATTGAAATAAAAATAGAAAATGGGAATATTGAGCTCATCACTGAATTCAAATATCTAGGATTCATGTTAGACAATCATCTATCATTGAATATCCATTTCAACTGCATAAAGAAAAAAAATTTGAAGGAATTATATTTTTTCACAAGAGTATCCCAACACTCAACTGTGCAATCACAGATAAGTGTATATAAGACAATTATACAACCACATTTTGAATATTGTCCTACTCTTCTATACACAAGTGATTTGAATAAAATGAGAATACTACAAAAACTACAGAATCGCGCAATGAGGATCATTTTGAGATGTGGCAGGAGTACCCATATATCTTTAATGTCAAATACTCTAGAATGGTTATCTATAAATGTAGGCTTACATATTTAACGATGATTTATATTTACAAAATGTTACATAACCTTCCACCCTCACATTTTGACATATTTGTAATTTTTAATAATCAAATCCACCAGTATAATACTAAAATAAAAAATTATTTGTATGTAAATAATCAAACATAAACATTCAACACCTAAACAATAATGTTCAAAGGATTTATTGAGTATAACAGTCTACCTGAAAATGTAAAGTCTTCTAACAGTCTTATTCTGTTCAAAAGAAATTTAATAGACCATTTAAGAGACCATTAAGGTATTATATGATATTTTTTATCTTTTATTCTTTTTGTATTTTCAATTATCGTACTTATTAACAAATATAAGTAGATCTTTTTTGTATTATTGTATTTATATGTATATTAATGTTAACATTACTATCATTGTTATATATTAGGATGTATCCGATTTGAATAAAGCATTTTATTTCATTTCATCAGCATCTGAATGATTGTGTTGCCCTGAATAACTTTTTTTTTGCTCAGAACGTCAACAATTTTTCTTATTCTTCGAAAAATACTACATTCGAAATGGAGGTGATAGAGCCAAAAAACGAAATCTAAAATATTATTTCAAGGACATAACACAAGTACTACAGAAAAATCCTCAAGGCGTTCTAACAGCGGTGCCTGTGAAGAAGTTGCGATTCACATTGCATTTGAATCGCTGCAGATTCATTTGGAGAAACGTCCTCAGAAAGTTTGTTCAACATAACCGGAGTCTTCCAAATGAAAGAGTTTTGAAACAGTGGAGTGTGCCAAGTCACTTGAATACTTCACATGAAAGTATATATGAGAAAAAAACAAATCGTAAAATTTTCTTTGATATTCCAAGAAAATCAAGGTCAGGCAGATGACTTTTTTCTGGATGAAATCCACCAGCTTCAGGGTTCCATACATGAGAACAATACTCTAAGGAAAGTCTGATCTGAGTTCTATAAAGCATCAAAATTTGCTGAGGTGTGTACAGTTTTATGGTTCGAAACAGTGTTCCAAGCAGCCTTTGTAATTCCAGCGACATGATTGTACCAAGACATATAGCAGAAAACGGAAATTTCTCTCCTGAGGAATTATTATATCAGGTTTGAAGACATTAATCTTCCTAGAGAAAACCGTTACCTGGGTTTTTGTGGCATGAATTGAACCTGGTTACTTCCACGCCAATTCTAAATCACTATAGATCCTCATTAAGATATGCAACCTCCTGCTGCGGGGGAAGATGTGACTACGTAGCCGATGTCCTGGAATCCAAATGTAATCACAAAACAAGGGTGCTGTCTTCAGCAAAGCAATTAATTGTATTCTTAGTTTTTTTCCTATAAGTCGTTGATGTACAATGAAAAGAGGATTGGAGGCAATATGGATCCTTGGATTCCTGCATCATCTCCACTCATGTATGTGATATAATTCAATTGACAAAAATCATATTATGTTATCAACAATAATCCTACAAAAAAGCTTACTCGTCTGCTCACTTGAGGAAACATATTCAATAGAAAATCAAATTCAATTTCAATTCAATTCATTGAAGTGATATAATCGGTTACAATATTCTGTTGTGAAAGTAATGATCGTAACATAAATACGATCATCACTGTGAGGGTTCACCTGAGCAAAACCTATGACCCATGACAGTTCAGATGAGCTAATCATACAAGTTTCCAGCTGAATATAAATGTAGACCTTTACAATATTGTGTTTCATTAGTCTCACGGGCGATCGATGGTATGCCAATGGCATTACTTGTTTTGATGCACTGTTTGGAAACTTTGATGTAGTAATGAATATTACTGGAGTTTTTTCCCAACATCAAACCGTTAGTTTAACACCCTGACACGTCTTTCGATCACCAAGTGATCATCTTCAAGAGGAAGATCACACCGTTTGATCTTCGCCTTGAAGATGATCACTTGTTGATCGAAACACGTGTCGAAGTGTTAAAATAACGGTTGGGTGTTGGAAAAAAACTCCAGTAATATTCAGTATCACTTGTATTAGTGACATTGAGTATAACCAGATGCAGTAATGAAGTTAATTAAATGAAAAGAGAAAGATAGAGAGTAACGGTATTCGAAGCAAAGTAATTCGAGGTCACCTAGGATATATTCTTTGATTTCGATTTTGCATGTTTTTATGTTGGCTATTTCCCTCATTTGAAGTGATAGTAGATTTTAGATCTTTGGTCCATGATAGAAAACGTATCTTTGCGTGTGAGTCTTCTGGAAAAGTGATGTGCCCAGTTTTTTGGTAAACGTGTTTCCAGTAATTGTAGGTTTATCGGGCAAAGTGTTTTCGGTCTCTTTGAAATTTCATGAAAGACACTGGTGAATGAATATATGAGTCACGAATATTATTAAAAACTTTTGTATTTATATAGATTTGCTGCTTATCTTCAGAAAAGAATTTTGCGTATATTGGAGACTTTTCATTACATTGTTGAAGCTACCATCCCATATAACAATGCAGTACCGTATTAACGATTTCACTAGTGACTCGTATATTATTTTCACGCAGTATATCCCTGAGGGTGTAGAATTTGTTAATCATTTGTCTCAACCTCTGACTAGGATTGAAACCTGCTCATCTCATCTCATATGTTAGTCCAGGATAATTCCAAGGATAATTCTAGGAAATCCATTTCTTTTTTCAATGACGAAACACAAGCACTACAGGAAAATTCTTAAGGAGCTCTAAGAGCGGTGCTTGTGCGAAAGTAGCGCTTCACGTTGGATTTGAATCGATGGAGATTAAATTCATTTGAAAAAACGTTTTCAGAACGGTAATTTCACATAAACGCAGTTTTCCAAATAAAAGAGTTCTTGAACATAAGGAATTTATTCAAATTCATATTTCACTAACTTTCATTCTCCTTGTGAGATGAAAATACTCGAAAAAATTTGATTTGGGAGTAATTATTATTACAGGAGTGATAACAGGATAAAACTCATTCTTGGAAATATCAAATACCTTCGTTCAGATTCATAATCCTCAGCATTTACTCCGAAACAAAAAGCATGAATGGGATCATTTCCCAGATTACAGCAGTATCGATTGGAAAACGCCCGATTCATCCAGTATTCCAGACAAAAATTTAAACGTCAATTATACTCACGTTAAATTATGGTGATCGCCCAAAGATTTATACCTAATTTCCGTTACGAGAAGTTGCCTGTCAATGAACTTGGGGCTTTTTAATTTATAAATTAAGTCCAATGTTTTCTCAGATCTTCTCAGGTTCGCGAAGTTATTGAAGCGTTTGCCGTTCCATTCCACTTCGACATTTCCTGATAAGTTCTGTTTGTCTTCGGTGGATATCTAGAAAAAATCAAATGAAAATATCCTCTGAACCTTTTGTAGCGTATTTCTATTTCCTTTTAACGGTATTTTTTTGAATTGTCACATTGTAGAATAAGACTGTTTCCCAAGTTGCAATGGCAATATAATGTTACAAAAAAACGTTTTGATTAATGTTCATAACTGGAATATATGGTTATGGAAAGTGTTAACTTCACGAATAAACTCATGAATCTGTCGAATAATGAAAAAACATGGCATCGAAACGAAAACATTTCATATCAATATAGTGTTTCCTCTGGAGAATACCTCAATAAACAATAAAGTAGATTACAACTATAATTTGAAAAATGCATTACAGCAGTACACTCATTTGAATTCACTATTTTATACTGCTTTTTGAATATTGAAAATTATTCTCATTTCATCAGACTACATCATTCAGTGTTCATTTAGCCTCCCATTTGCAATTTTGTTTCAACCATTGGAATTATAAAACTGGGAAAGAAATTTTAGTATAAAACAGAAGCCAGTCGAAAAAATTAAGAGTTTCTTGTCCACATTACCATTTGAAAAATTTTAATATGTGATCAGAATAGTGGCTTCAAATCGAATTCATGAAAGGAATATCAATTTCCTTTTCTGAAATATCATTCATATATTAATCGATACTTTTCACTTTCAGGTAGATATTTGTCTTTAAAAAATCTGAATTGAATATAGTAAAGGTTCAGATTAGAACCAATATATTTCCAATGACTATTATCTGACTCAGTTTCCACTTACCTTGCCCCAAATTCCATGTTTTCTGGATGTATAACTTGTTCTATATTTCAATAAGTAATCAATATTCCTCAATTTCTTCGTGTATCCCAACTCGCTGAAGATACTATGAATTTCCTTATTTTCATCAGGCACTTTGAGATGTGCTTCAAGTTCCATCATTTTCTCTAGAGGTAGCTTCAATGTGACATTAGTTCCAGCTCTGGTGAAAAAGAGAGTATTAAACTGTGCAAACCAATTAAACCTAGCTCATGGGCTGAAAAATCTCGGGACTGAAGAATAACACGCGTTTTTTTGTTCAAAAAAGGCTATATTCATCAACGAAGTACCCATCAAGAGCCACACAAATATTCCAGCGTTTTGAACCAGGTTAACCAGTTTCTCTCCACTCAGACGACGATCGTTTTGATTCTGGAGTGGAGTAATGGATCCGTGTTTCATCCATTGTCACATATCGATGCGGAAATTCCTGTTTGTTATGTTCAAACATGGCCAAACACTGCTCAGAATCATCCATTCGTTGTTGTTTTTGGTCAAGAGTGAGCTGGCGCGGCGCCCATTTTTTCTAGTGTTACTGCCTCATCTGGACGTCCACTGTGTTTTTTTTCAAGGCCAAAGCACAGACACTACAGGAAAATCCTCTCAGAGCGGTACCTGTGCGAAAGTAGCGATTCACATTAGATTTGAATCGCAGTTCTCTAGATGACAGAGTTTCCTAACAGTGAAATTCCAGGTGTACTGAGTTGAACCTCAAAACGATGAGCAGCTACAGTCCGTCGTGTATTTCTGGTATGTATACCGCTCTTGGTGGAATCAAAGGTGCCAAGTCACTTGAATACTTCCCGTGAAAGTATCTACAGAGAGATAACTATCCAACCTTTCATCGATGTTCCAGAATATCAAGATCGCAAGTGATGTTTTCGTCTCCAATCAGGAAGATGACTCTTCTCTGGATACTCCAGAGAGGGTCTGATTTGAGCTTTATAAAGCATCAAAAGTTGCTGAGGTCTGTACAGTTTTCTGGTTTGGAACAGTGTTCCAAGCTTTCAAGAAGCAGCCTTTGCAATTCCAGCGACATGATTGTGCCATGTTTGATTTGTTAAAATCATCACCTTGGTTTACTTTCCATGATGCTTGACAGCAGAAAGAATTCAAAGTCAAATTGAATAATGTCGTAAAAATAAACGGTAATACTTTATTTTGGGCAGAGCTTCCTGTATTGGATTGACATTAACATTGCTTGAAATGAATATTTTCTGTCAATTTCTAATGTGAAGCTTATAGATAAAGGCTATCTGGTGATGAGTGTCCAATTTGAAAAATTGGGATATTTTGGAAGAAAATCAAAGATACTTTTTTTGATTGAGTAACACTCAGACAGCTTCAGTATGGTATTATAGAAGCATTTGAAGTTAGATGTCCATTTTAACCATGAACAAACTTTTCGAAGCAGAAAGCGAAATTGTCTGTCCTGCCATTATTGTATTCGTTTCGGAGACATTCATTTTCTTAGAAAAAACCGATGCTTGGGTTTTTGTGGCATTGAATTGAACCTGGTTACTTCCACCTCAATTCGAAATAATTCTCAGATCCTCATTAAGACAGGCAATCTCTGTCTGTCGGACAAGATATGCCTCCGTAGCCGATGTCCTGGAACTCAAATGGATGGACGAAACAAGAGTGCTGTCGTCAGCAAAGCAATATATTGGATTCTTAGTTTTTCTCCAATAAGTTGTTGTTATACAGTAAAAAGAGGGTTGGAGGCAATATGGATCCCTGGATCCCTGCATCAACTCTACGCATATCTCTACAACCATGTTTGAAGTCAGCAAACCAACATTCAATTGTTATTATTGATGAGGCGGAGTCCTTATTACACTTTTCAAGCCATTGTTTCGCTTGAACGCAATTTTTTCCCATGAAGAATCAGTGTAAAATCAAAACACGAAATTTTTTTTGATCCATTGTTTCGAAAATAACAAAAGTAGTGTCACTCCTAGTTCTAACTGAACTAGGAGCGCCGTGTATGTATTAGGCTCGAGACTTTCCAGCTCATGTAGTTCAACATTTTTTCCTGAGATCAGTTTGGAATTTTTGTGGTTCAAATAGTATAACAAGATCATGGAAATAACTACGTGAGTATATAAAATATACTGGGACTGGGTGTTCCACGATTAGTTCCAAAGTTCTGGTGATTTCTCCTGACAATGGGAATGCAACAAAATTATTTTTGATTCAATTCGATACCAGAAGACAAGAAGTTATAGAGGCGAGTTTGAATCGGAATACATTTGGTATACAAAAATATTGAGTTAAATCGGCACCTGCAACTGTGATAATTATTATACCGAAAAACGTTGAACCACCCATGACATATGTCAATTTATTTATATAAATATAACAGGTAGTGGTACTTACTCCCACAATCGGTCAATCTTGATATCTCCACCAGCTTTGATGAAATAGAAGGTCTTCTGGGGATTTTCATAAAATGCTTCCAAAGAAGATTTGCTAGAATAATCAGCATTCTCAAAATTGCCAACTGCTTTCAGGAACATATTCTCCAAGTACACCCAAATGAAGCTAAGCGTTGCATTACCTTTGGAGTTGGGTAGGATGAAGAATCCATAGACATCTTTCTGCAGTCCTTTGTTCCTGTTGTAATGATTCAGAAAAGTCGTAAAGTAGTGCACTTATTTTGTTATAATCAATAAAATATGTTCAATGTCAGTGCTGAAACTGAAACACTAATTTTCAGAAATCATCCGAAACAAAAATATAGTTACTTTTGAGTTTTGAGGTTTTGAGAGCTGGACTAGATCCTCTAGAATGTTTGGCTCCTTTTCGGTTATGGTGACTTATTTTCGCCTGAGGAAGCTACTGTATAGCGAAACACGTATCGCGGTTTTGATGAAACCGTTATGGTAAAAATCTTGCGATTATTTGTAAAAGTTGGAAGTTAGTATCGTTCCGTTTTATCCAATTGGAAGTGACAAATGCCCAGAAATCAGTTTGGTGTAGTTAGGTCATCGATAATTGTAGAGTGAAACCCATTCCATGATAATAATAATAACAATGATAATAATTAATCGGCTTCATTGATGATACAAAAACAATACAAAGATAAATGAGAAAAAAAGTTACAGGAGATTCTGAAAGTCATTGGCGAAGTCTAGTTCAGAACTTCTCTAACTCACCCAAAAAGCACCACTTATCAATATATCATATATTTATCAATACGATCATAGAGAAATTAAAAAAACAGTGATAGTACCACGAAAAAAATAGAAATAGAAATTGGTGATTATCCCCTAAGGAGTTTACGGATTGAATTGATCTGTTGCTTATTTATTATTGATTTGTCCAATAAGCAAAAATTGACAATAATGACTATCATACTCTTAGATATGATTCCTATATATGTATTTGTATTTCCTGATATTGAATCACTTCAGTTGCTTAGGGATTGAATTGAAGAGTTTCACAGAGTGGTGAAGGGTAATCAATCAATAAAAAAAACGACCCAAATGATGAATCGCACGGTTTTTCATATTGAGCCAGCGGGAGTTTTTAAAGGCTTCAGAAATCGAATCATATTTACGAATTCTATAAATCAGAAGCCAACAAGAATTCTGAACTCTTTATATTCTTTTTAATCAGAATCATCTAAGAAGGGGCCCATATATGAAGTCACAGTAGGTAAAGTGGCTCAGCACCAAACTATCACAAATCATTTTGCTAGAGATTGGCTCAAAGTAAAACGATTGCAGTATGACAGTTCTAATGACATGGAAGCTTTTTTCATCAAATTCCCAACACGATCAGTGAATCTAAGGTCGGTGCCAAGCATCACCCCTAAATTTTCAGCTGTATTGACAGGAGTCAAGATAGTATGACCAAGTTCTAAGTGGAAATGATTTTTTACAAATCCACGAATTTTCTGGGATATCTTAAAAAATCTGTTCAAAATCTGTTTTTCCGTTAACCAGCTGTCGCACCCCTACGAACGACAACCCTCAGAAGTCGAAACTTGTGCGAGCTAAGGATCAACGAGGTTTTACCTTTTAACGTGTGATTCCTAACACGGGTTGCATCATCATTCTTTTATGAGGATCAATTCTAAAATTATGTTCACTTGATAGATAATTGATCGAATGTATATCAACGTAAAAGAGAATTTGTGCATCAGCACATCGATGCATATATAACGGTATGTCATCAGCATGAACCTGTACCTCCCGATATAGAAGGCCCCGACACTCTGTCGAATGAGGCCCTCATGTCCCCCGTTAAAGGATGAATAACTTTTTCATCCATCCCACCCCAGCCAGGTAGGGGTATCCCGTGAAGGGCGGCACTGATGTCTAAGGACTTCATGCCGTCACCCATCAGTCATGTACCCATTGGTCCCTCTCAAGGCCAATGATCAGCCAAAAGGGTAGGGGAGCTGGTCTCCAAACCTGAACGAAATGAAGATGGATTTCGGATGAACCTGTATTTTATAATCATCGATGGACGAGATAATGTCAGTGGTATAAATGATGAACAATAAAGGTCCCAAAACAAAACCCTGTGGTACTCTAGATAGAATATCAAGAAATAAGGAGAGGTGACTCAAACAAAGACTTTTTGAGATCTGCCAGTAAATAAAAGCAGATGAAAAATAAGGCAGCACTGTCAATTCCAAAATATTTAGTTTTATGCAAATCATTTCATGATTGATGGTAACGAATGCTTCGGAAAATCTAATAAAACCACATCTCTAATCATTCCCTCATCAAGTTCCTCAATAATATCTTGTGTAACAGTAGCAAGAGCTCTACCTGTACTGAAACCTGTCTAAAATCACATCGTAATGGTGATAACAGATCATTGGTATTGAAATATTAACTATTTTTATCAATGAATAACTTTTTCAAAAATGTCAGTCATGCGGGAAGTATACCGATAATTTTGAAATTAGAATAACTGGCTGGATCGTTATTCTTGGGAACGGCAATTTTCCACTAGTTAGGAAAATATGAACGTTCAAAACAACAAGTGATGATATGGGTAAATGTATTTATCTATAAACGGGCTACCAAGTTCCAATATTCTGATTGAAATATTATCCCCTGAAGCTTGGCTCTGAATACCATTAAAAATTTCATGAACGACTTGAATTATCTCCATTTTAACTTTAGTCTTTAGATGATTTCTCCTCAATTTTTTCTCGTGATTCGGTAGGTATGTACATTTTCAGAATATCAAAAGAAACACAGAAATAAGTTGTACGAATTGCGATAAAAAGTTTGTTGGTCAACCTAAGCGAACTATAGCATCTCGCTACAAGGAACATGTCACACACATTCTGTTTTATAGACCAGAGAAAAGCAGTGTTGCTCAATATGCCATATACCCCACAAGTGGCCACATAAGTAGGGCAACATAAATGGGGAGTACTTGGAATTGTTGAGACCAGTACATGACAACAAGTTTTCAGATGCTTCGAAAGTTTGGGAATCGAAAACTGTGGAATTAGTTCTATGAAAAGTGATAAAGGTGCCATTCTTAACAGCACTTCGTTCGCACTCTTGCGTAATTGTAGGTGGAAAACAGCTGAAAATCAGGTAGGATAATGACTCTCATTATATGAGGTAATGATTTGTCTAGATACACATAGAAACGTAGCCACAGGAGTTTGTCTCAGTCATCTCCTGATGATGTTAACTTTCTCTGTTGAAAATGACAAGGGCAAGCCTTGAAAAATAGAAAACCGCGACAGATACAAAATCGGTTAAGAAGCTGTTTCCTGTTTTCAAAGAGGTTAACTCATATCGTGTGATTTTTTTTGCCCACATGAGAAAATAAAATAGGTGACGGTTTCTCGGAGAGGAAACGTCAGATTGAGAATATGTAAAATTCATCTGGTACAGCTTGAAAAGACATTCCAGAAATTTCATTCAAATACGGATTCCACCGCCTTCTGCGTATTCATTCCTTCCTATCTTGCACGCCTATTTCACAAAATGTTTCAAACTAAATCGATGTAATAGGTACAGGTAGAATCAAACCGAACTCGCATCTTATTTGCTCGAGAAGTTACTCCAATTTTCATCTGAAGTTTATCTTTCGTGTTTATCAATTCGAAATATCTAGGTGGTGAAATTTTAATTGGGAAAATTTTCAACAATGCCTGATTCCTTTCCGCGATGCGAAGTTGAGTGTAGTGGAAAAGTGATGATAAGTGAGCTTGCCGTAGTTTCAAAGCCTCGGGCAGGACGGATTGTTTAAATCAATCAACTTTTTACCCTGAGCGACAAATCGTGGGTTGTTTTGTCAACGTTCTCAGAGGGTATATCGAAATTTCGTGTTCCCAGGGTGTTGACTAAGTGGCATTTTGTCGAATATGACGTTTGCTTGACAAAACATGAGAAATGTTTGATCTCGTGAATGATTTTCTGTAGGTCAAATCAAGGACAAACATATCGTACACCATGAATTAACTTTTTGTAATGATCCAACCTCACATGAATTGAACTATTGAGTTACTTTTCAAACTGAAGACACTCAGTGTCTTTCAGGGAGATGCGCATGCACTGCAAGAAAATTCCTTCAATGCTCTAGGAGCAAATATTGGATCTCTTTTTGGTATGTCTTCGAGCTCTCCCAACGACTCGTCGCAAAATGCCATCCTTTCATAGGTGTCTTCAATCATGAGAACATAAAAAGTCACAGGGGCCAAATCTGGTCAATACAGTGGCTGAGATATGATCACGGTGTAGTTTTTGGCCGAAAAATCACAAACAAGCGATGGCGAGTGAGCAGTTGCATTATCGTGATGCAAAAGTCATTAATTGTATTTCCACAATACCGGACGTTTTCTTCATAATTTTTCTCGCGAGCAGCGCATAACTTCAAGATAATACTCCTTATTGACCATGTGGCAAGAACTGATACACTACTGCATGGCAATTGAAGAAAACAGAGAGCGAAACTTCGACATTTGATGCAACTAGGCGTTCTTTTTTTGGTCTTGGCTCTCCTGGGCTCTTCCATTGGGACGATTGGACCTTAATTTCGATGCCATAACCATATACCTATGATATATGGTGGAATCAGCCGATACTTGATGAAAATCCATAACTAACGTACCTATTCTAAAAACACTTTATTGTGTGATTTTCACTAGACAGTTTTACAAAAACGCGTTTAAAAAAAAAGCGTTTTTGTAAAACTGTCTAGTGAAAATCACACAATAAAGTGTTTTTAGAATACTTTCATATACCTATGATTCGTCACTAGTATTGACCCTTTCAAAAGAATCTTGATCACCGTTGACGTCACTCAACAATTCCTGAGCGTCGCCATGCAATGGTTTTTTAGGTTGAGTTTATCGATACGTACCGACGAAGTAAAGTAGTGTTCAAGTGAATTCGCGGAGCTCCGTAAATATATCTTATAAGTATTGTAAAACCATATATAAGTTACTATATATGCAGGACATGTTCAGGTATTTACCATAAGAGTTGCTTGACGAAAATTAAAGAAAAAGATCGCTTTTTGAAAGATAATATAATTAACTTTGCTGCAAAGACAATTCTGATTTGCGTTTTAGAAAAAACTATCAGTGACTTGAATGAGAATAATGTCACCAAAGCAAAATATCTAATCAT